TATATTGAGACATATTATTGGAATATTGAGACATATATTGAGACATATTATTGGAATATTGAGACATATATTGAGACATATTATTGGAATATTGAGACATATATTGAGACATATTATTGGAATATTAAGACATATATTGAGACATATTATTGGAATATTGAGACATATTATTGGAATATGGAGACATATATTGAGACATATTATTGGAATAGTAGCTGCAAAATTTTTTATTCTACTTATATTTCTCATATCATCAATATTTGATTGAATTTCCCTTTTTATTATTAAATTTGCGAATAGTTAATATACTTATTTTTCAATAGTAATTTTAACACTGAAACACAATTTCTTTTAAAATTTTAAGTTCTAAAGAGAAAAAAATGATAGGGAGGAAATAAAAATGCAATAACAGACATACGTTCGATTTAGAAGAAAAAGCATATTGATATGACATAGTGAGCATATTTAAAAATATAGATGAGTTTTCAAACAAAATTCTGCATTCATATAGCGTTTTTTTTTTTTTTTTTCATGGGAAACAAAATTTCTACAGAATAATTTAATTCAATCAAAACACATGTCTGTTATAAATAATAAAAACACCTTAAATTACTACTTCAAACATTAATTTTTACACTGTATTTTATATTTCAAATATGCCAAAAACTGTTACACTTTTCTTGATATTTTTAACGAAATTGTGTACAGTTCCACAAAATATACTGCATCCTAAGTGAAATTTTATTTTGATGGCCATGAATATTAAATCTATAATAATATGAAGAAAAAATATAAGCATTTCTAATTTCAAGTATAATCAAAATACATTTATTTAAGAGCATTTTAATTTGAAAGGAATAAAAACAATATTTTTAAATGTTTAATATAATATGAAAAAAAAATTCAGCATTTGTATTTTTAAATATAATCAAAATACATTCATCAAAAAATGTTTTTAAAAAAACATTCTAAGTAAACTTTTACATGTGTGAAACATTCGAACAATTATACTATCGAATTTCCATGGTTAAAGTTGCTAGAGTGTAAACATTGAAGAATATATCTGCATTAACTGTTGAGTTCTTAAATAATCTCTATAGAAGTTAAGATTATATCTTTTAGACTCTCTTATAGATATTTATTATGCAGTCTTTAATTTTATCTTATAACTGTGACTTACCTTTCAGCAATTCGAATACACCTGGGGCACTTGACATTCTTAAAACAGCTCTTATGAAAGCAAGATCCACATACTGAAATAAAAATAATAAATTTAAATGCTTTTTTTTCTAATTTTGATATTAAAAAAATTTAAAATTTTAACCAATTTATACCTTGACATAAAACAACTCTATTAAGCTGAAATGAAAAAATAATGTCCTTCTCATTTTCACAAATCTCACAAACAAAACCCTTAGCTTGGCAAAGAATGCATTTGTTCACATGCTCAATGCAATAATTAGTGAGCATTTTCACATGTTTTAACATTTCTCCATTTTTTACCTGAAAAAGAATACAAATCTTAATGCTATTGTGAAAACAATTGAATGAACAGAAAATAAGTCAAGTAAAAGTGAAAAGAGGAAAAAGCAATGTTTAGAAAAATATCTTAATTAATACATACTCTATATTAAGTAATATTTTTTCAATAAGGACAATGTTAAGGAATATTTTTTTCATACATTTAATTCGGGTATGATAATAGAACAAAAAAATATTATAATGCTTTAAAATAAAATAAATATAAGGAAATGATAAATTATCTCAAGTTATCCCCTGTTTATTGAACAAAATATTTAGATTTAACTTTGTCTTTCTTTTAAATTTTGCCTAATTTTTTTTAAAGATAACAAAAGAGAGAGAAAAGAGTAGTTTTAAAAACACATTATTTTTTAGTCAAACTAATTTGATGGGAAGATTGCAATAAAAAATAGGACAATATCTTCAAGTAAAAGAAACAAAATAAATAAATAAAATCATGATTTCAAAAGAAAAAAAATAGAAAATGTCTTAACTACACACTGTACTAGTACTAGTAATCTTATTTGAAAGGTATGATTAAATATCATTCGAATATAATTAATTACTTTACTAATTATTCAATTTTTTTAAAGCAGTCTTAAATTAAAAACTTATAAAATAGTCTTATAATATAAGATGATAAGTAAAATATTTGCTTCTAATTCAGGGTGCGTAGCCAAATCTTTCAACAAAAAAATAAGCACCTTTTGTGCTTTTTAAGCACTCAAAAAATATTTTCAAGCACCATATAAAATAACAAAATGCAAAATATTTTTTAAAGAATTTACATAATCATGATAAAATAACTGACAAAGAACTCTTTTATTGATTATATTAGCCACCACAAAAAAATTGAGAGATTTTTCGGCTCAATTTCAGAGGGGGGGAAATGAAGCCTGAAATTGGGTATATCGTGCAAAAAGCAGCAGTGTTGCACATGAGAGTGTAAGAATCTCACCGAACCCAGCTCAGCATACGCACATGCAGACCAGCAAGTATTTCGTCAAACATGAATTATTATTGGCGCTTTCATACACTATGGACCGACGGTAAGCCGAAAGTGGCGAAAATCAACATGGTAGTTTCGAAAAATTAAAATCAAGGAGTTTTTAAAAACACCCAAAAAAAAGCACATTTAGGGGCTTTTAAAAATGAAAATCAAACATAAGCACCTTTAAGCATTTTTTAAAAATGCTACGCACCATGATTATAGATAATAAAAAAAAATCAGACAATTGCTAAATTTAGCTATTGTTAATGATAACATTGCATTCATTCAGTAATTACAATAGTCTCTTTATAGTCACTATTATGGATTCAATTTCTTTAACATATAAAATAAAAATTTAAGGGTGATACTTTTAACATTAGAAGATTTAGGAGTAAAAAAATTGATTAATAAAAGTGCTTAATTTTAAAAACTAACATATTTAAAATAGTAATAAAACATTAATAATACCTGAATAAGATCACTTAAAGAATATATATTTGGATCATATAAAATATGCTGATTCTGTGCTTCCAATGTAACTTGGACTCTAAAAAAAGTATAAAAAAAGAAATAGGCTAATAATAATGAGCTTCATAAAAGTATTCATATTATTGTTTGATTGTGACCAAAAACATATATTGAAACGTAGCATTTAAATTTTTAACTATGATTCATCACATAAAATGACAGTGTTATAAATATATAATATATATTACTAAAATACCAGAAAGAATACAAAATACAGACAAAATAATTCTTTAAAAAGTCAATGAAAACAGAAAAAAAGTATAATATAGTTGTAATAATAATTCCAAATAATATTTTTTTGACTTTGCACTTATTTGTAGTTATTTAGGTCTAAGAGAAACATAGCATTTAAATGTTTAACTATGATTCATTACATAAAATCATAGTGTTATAAATAGATAATATATATTACTCAAATACCAGGAAGAATACAAAATACAGACAAAATAATTCTCTAAAAAGTTAATGAAAACAGTATGTATAGTTATAATAATAATTCCAAATAATAATTTTTCGAATTTGCACTTATTTATGTCTAAGAGAAACAGTTATTCATCATTAAAATTTCTTTAATTAATTGACAAATTTTTGAATATGAATGAAAAAAAAATTTCCAAACTACTTTTTTTGGATTTTATATTTTAGTATAAATATAATTCCGATAATCTAACAGATTTTTTTAGTAACGATTAGAATTTTTTTAATAATTAAAAACTATCAAAATATATTTTGGCTTGTAATTAGAGCAATAGAAAAAAATATACATAAAAAGGACACCAGTGTCCTATCTGCGCCAAAAGGTTAAAAGAGGATAAAATTAAATAAACTTACAGTTCTGCTTTACGGCATGTTTTCATAAAATCTTTCAAATAGAACAGCTGCATTCTATAATTGAGGCACAAGTCCAGTGCCCTCACTTTTTTGTACAGTTTAGGATTAGTGGCCTCAATATTGAATAAAGGATCATTAAACATATTGTCTAAGAGATCCCAAGCAAATTTGGAAACATAATATTTTGTAAAATCCCACTTCCATAATATGTAACCAGGAATATATGCTGATCCATTGCTGTGACAGCACTGACAAAAATACTTTCCAAAGTAATTACAGTAACGAAACTTTTTAATATAGCCTGAAAAAAATTAACATAATTAAATATAAGAGCAAATTACTATTATTTTAATTTTTAAAGAACAAGTAGTTAACTTACTTTTTTCAATCTTCATACCACAGCCTGCACATCTGTATTTCTGCTTTTCAATAATATCTTTTCGTCTAAAGAGAAAAAAAGCATTTTTAATTCCATTTGTTTAATAGTTTGCTTTTTTTCATAAAAAAAAATTATAATAAATACAGTCGGACTTCTATATAACGAACTTCCATTTAGCGAATTTCTCTATTTTGCGAATTTTTTAATGAAACCAAGAACATTTTGGAAATTTCCTTGTAAAATAACTTCTAAATAGCGAAGTGAATTTTCTATTTAACGAACTTTTCCTTGAGATCCAGTTTCTCTATTTCCCAAAATATTTCCGAACATTTTAAACTTGTTATCGCATTTTATGGGGGAAATAACCTTGAAATGTTCAAAGCCACTTAACTTTTAGAGAAAGCAGTAAAATCACTTTCTCTTTTCGTTCTCATTTCAAACAAAAAGCTCTAATATAAACGACAAAATTAACGGATTTTATCAGTAGCAATTAAATTTTAGAATGCATGTGGTAATGTATGTTTAAAGTTACTTTTATAATAAATGCAGCTATAATTTCAGACACAAATTTAGCATTTTTTTAATTGAAAATGTATATAGCATGATTATGTAATGCTGGATAAAATTTTTATCCATTCTTGCTTTCCATGCAGATTTATTTTATGATTAAGATTCATGAAATAAATAGTAGATACTACTTTAAAATATAAAGGTGTATCCATTACTATTTTAATCATGTCTAGAGTTTATGAATTTGAAACCCGTTTTGTGTCGTTTAAGCATTTCAAAAGATGATTTTCTATTTAAAGAATTTTCCATATAACGAACTTATTGTCAGGATTTAGCGACTTCATTAAATAGAGGTCCGACTGTATTTGCAAACGAGAAATTGAGTCACTAAATAATATAGTTGCAGGTACTTCAGATCATACACATTTACACAATAAGTTTATAGACATTTTCCCTGGTCCATTTGTACATCTCTTTTATGCACACACATTTCTAAAGAAAGTAAGTAAAGTAATTTCATATAAAAAAAAAACTTCGGTGTAGAGAATTTGTGATGTTCACATTTATGATGAAATCTGTTACTTTTAAGCTCTAAAACACAGACCAAAACAACATATCATCCCCTTATATCAGTTGCAGGTTCGAGGAACCACTGATAATTATATTGAGTTAAAATTCAATGAAACCGGACTAATGAACCACCATTCATTAAAAAAGTTTGAAAAGTAATCTTACTTTAAATGAGGGTGAATAATGCTGATTATCTGAGCTCTAGGTGGGGCCCATTCAGTATTGCCTCGAAGGCGAATCTAAAGACAGAAAAATCAAGTATAATAATAAATTAAAACAAACTATGAATTAATAAACAAAATTACCCAAACTTACATATATTAAACACTTACATTAGTAAGATAACATTCTTCTTCAACAAAATCTGGTGAAACAGGCCATGAATCAGGCAAGGGTAATAACTAAAATGCACAGAAAAACATAGATAAATTGCAAATACATATATGCATTCATCAGTTCAAATTTAAAATATAGATATTAGACATAGATAAAAAGTATGAGCATTTTTCCTTTACATCTCTAAAAGTGGGTAAGAACTCATTTAAAAGAAGCAAAGTCATAAACTACATCATCAAATGATCTTAAAATTTTTGAAGAAAAGTAGCAGTAAATTGATACTCTAAATCACAAAAATTCTTTATATATATATATATATATAAATTTATTCAATATTTTAATATTTGCTGAGGATAGATTAGGAGAAACATCAGTGTTCAAAGAACCAGTTAAATGCATACTCGGCAATGGCACTTGAACTTCAAAAAAAAACAATGAAAGAGGCATACCGAGGAAATGTATATTGGGCAGTGGCTCTTAATTAGACATAGTATATATTTCAGACATTTACCGGTTTTGCTTTGTGGAGAAGACTGCATATTAGAGTGCGCCTTCTTATGTGCAGAGCCCTCAGTGAGTTAATCTAATAAAAACTATTACGGTATAATAATGGTTTGGCATTACTATATATAAATAAGTCAAAGTTTACAAAAACTATACCAATATTCTAAAATTTACAGGATTAGAAAAAACTCAAACTTAACTCTTAAAAATTTCTATACAGCAGACAACTCTACATAATAATTTAAATTCTAAAACTTTCTATATTTAGAATATCAATATATTTTCTATATTTAGTATATCAATATATCAGTTTTGTTGTTCACCTTGTTTTACAACCACACTAATAGTTTATTGGTGATAGTTTAAGATTCACCCTTACTGGTCTGAAGACAAGACTTGTGCGTGTATGCGCTGCACAAAAACAATTTAGATAGGAGGGCAGAAGGGGAATACTAATTATCTGTTCTTCTCAACACATTATACACCCTTATTCTATAATTATCCCCATTTGTAGATGGATCATGGGTGAGTCCACTTGCCGTCAGGCTAACCTTGGGCGGTTTTTGTGGTTTTCCTCTCTATGTAATGCAAATGCAGGTTAGTAACATCAAAAAGTCCTCCACAAAATGCAAATTTCATCCAATACTTGATCCAGGAGTTNAAGGCTACGGAGTTGAACATTAGTAGCCGTAAGCCCACAAAAATGGGTCTGTTGTTCAATGACAATTATAAATAAACAATATAAAATACTTGATCCAGGAGCTCCCTTGTCTTCTGGATATGGTTCAAAATTACAAGACTACGGAGTTGGACATTAGTAGTCGTAAACCAAAAAAATTAGGTCGGCTGCCCAACGACGGCTATAAAATGTTAAAAAAACATGGGACAAACTTGGAGGCATGGTTGACCATATGGAACAACATACTTTTTGTAAAGGAGCCTTAAATGGCATGTTAGACAGGAATGCAAAATAAATTACATGGAAGAAAAATATATATTTTTTACAAAATCAATCCAAATTGTTGTTTTTTTCAGCAATGCAATATTCAAAATAAAGGTTCAAAATTGCAGCCACCAACAGTAACACATGCTTGGTAGTGTCAGAGAGAAACGTTGAAAAATGGCAGGCATTTTGTGCATGCTTACAATCACAATGAACAGTTGCGGTGCATGATTGCTGCCACAATGAACAAGTGCAACAAAATGAACAGTGTCCTCCAGTGAGTCAATGAGAGTCTCATAAATGATGCCCCTATAAAAACAGCTGCAAGAACTACTGGTAGTGGTTGCAAATTTTAGATACTACATTTCTGCAAAGTGCTTCGAGTCGAGTTTGTAAATAAAAAAAATTTCATCCCGTGATATTATTTACATTTATGCTTTATCACATCATTTCAGAACCTACATACCTACACAACCTGTTTTATAACATTCAACTCCCATTCCAAATTTATCCTACTAATATAAAATAACTTTTTAGACACGCTCACAATATTTATTTATGTTTGGTTGACATTTAGATAAAAGAATAAACTGGAAAACACGAGTAAAAAAAATCAATAAAGAAAAAAAAATTTAATAGGAGGATAAATTTAAAACTTATTAAAACCGTGCATGCAAAATCAACAAAAGCATCAAAGTTTTAAATACCCTCTGAGGTGCCTCTTGCTCTGATACAAGCCACTGCAATTCAGAAGCTTTTGGTAAATGTTTTTCTGAAAATCGTTTTAATAACGACAATGCCACAGATTCAGCAGACATGTTGAAAGAGTCAGATTCATGCAACCTACAGAAAAAATTTAAACGAAATATTAATAAATAAAAAGCAATGCTACATTTAATATTCAATATATAATAAAATCAGGCGCTGTGATCAACGAATAAGCTGAGGAAATAAAGCAACATTTCTAATTATAATGTTTACAAAATTCTCTGTTTAATACAAATCAACATGCATTTTTTTTCAAACTAAATATTTTTTTCATGCTAGTCTGTATAAAAAATTTAATACCTTTCTTGTAAAATATTTATTTAATGTTAAAATATAAAACATAAATAATGTAATTATTGGAAAATTTTGAAATTGTAATTTTGCTGGAGTTATTTGGTTGGATTTTACAGGTTACTGTAAATCTCCTCCTAATTAGACTATAACTTTAAGACTCAATATGACTCTAGCAACAATTTTACCTTGGCCCTAGTTGGACTCAAAATTGGCTCAATATAGGTCCTATAAAAAATGCATATTGGAACCAATATTGGGATGTCTAGATTTTTTAATATTGACACTAGAGTGGCTTTTAATGTTAGGCAATAACAATTCTCTATAAGGCTGATATTGTTTGAAAAGTGGCTGTAACATATCAAGCGAAATGGAAAATTCTATATCAGGCCAATATTGGAAAAGTATCAGCCTTTTTTTACCCATATTGAGTCAAAATTAATGGACATTGGTCCAATGAAAGTCCTACATATTTTGCAGCTAGGGGATGTATGGGCATGTTGTCATACTACATGTAATTAAGTTTGGACATTATAGGTAAATATGTGAGGGCAATACCATCTAAAAAATATAAGTTTGTAAGTGAATTCGAACAAAATATGAATATAAACATTTATTAAAAAATGTAAGTACCCGAGTTTGGATATTGTAGATTAATATGTGTGGACAATATGAGCTAAAACAAAAAAATATAAATTTTTAAATAAATTAACATAAATTATGGATATGAACATTTTTTAAAATTATACATGCCAGAATTTTGACATAATAGGTTAATATGTGGTGACAATAATGGCTAAAACAAAAAATATAAATTTGTAACAAATTAAATTATCACAAAATGTGACTAAAAAAGTTTTTAAAAAAAAAAAATTTTTTTTTGAAGTGTTACATTTTACGGGTTCTTTTTATTTCATTGCTTTTTAACTTCATATATGTGCTTGAAACTATATGCTAAGTAAGCATACGCATTTCTATGTAAAGATTTTCATAATCATGTTTGTTGTGAAATATTTAAAAAAGTTAGCAGAACTTTCTCCCTTTAATTTTTTTTTTTTTTTTTTTACTTAAATCTTTCCATTGGACAATCAAGAGCTTGTTTAGATGATAGTTTTAGTATCACCAAAATTCTTTGTAAATTCACTTAAAATTTAACCTAAAAACTTGATAGGAAAATACACAAAGAAAAGTGAAAACAAGAAATTATTTTTCTGACATTTATGACCCGTATTTATTTTAAATTAACATCATTCTAGTTTACTTTCTTACCAGAATCTATAAACTCCAGCAGATAAAAGAAATTTATTTGATACCCTTCTTTCAAAGTTCAAATTAGACAATGATGAATCAGGACATAAAGAAAAACTATTTAAAAATTAAAAAAAATTGAAACCTAGCAAATTTTAAAAAATCATTAAAAAAAAGTTAATTCTTTAAGGAAATAAGAATTTTTGTAGTTTGAAATATAACTTACTTCTTTTCTGAATCTTTTTGGAGAGATCTAGCTTTATGAAGGTCAGCATCTAAAACAACAACCCAAAGTGTACAATGAACAACATTAAGGGAGGAAATTTTTCCATATAATTGGACAATTAAAACTAAATATATAACAACATTTTAAAAAACCTCAAGTGTGAACCATTTTCTATTCATTTGAGAAAAATTTAGAAACTTTATTTTTTAAACGTTTTACTCTTTGCGATAGTTTTAACGAGATTGGATTAAATGTAAATGTGGATGTCATCAAGTACAGATAAGACATGCTGCATATAGTATGTTTTTGAACTTGGCATTATAATTTCACAGCTTAAAAACAGTAATTGTTATAAAAGTGGTAACATTTTACTTCAATTTCTTAATGTACCACCATTTTTTTTTAATAAAAAGTAGCAGAATATTCTTTGCAGGATTGTAAAAAAGATTATAAAAAATGATTAAATTAGCAAATAATACCACACATTGAGTCAAAAACCGAAAAGCGTGAATGAAGACAGTAAACTTAAAACAATTTCAATTTTCTTTCAGTCTTATTTGTTGCCCAATTAAGTAACTTTATGTAATTAGATTTAAACAAAAGGCATTTTTTAGATTCAAACTTGTTAAAATAAGAAATTAACAGAGTCAGTATTATTCTCCACCTAAATCAAAGCTTTTGATCACGAACAACTTACTGTATTATAGATTTATCACAATTAAGCAATATTTCCAATGAATTGCCATGTATTACTTAGTGCATATCTTGACTTTTTTTATTTCAATTACCATTGGCTTAAGATTAATTTGCTTTATAAAAATGCATTTCAAAAAAATAAATTTAAACAAAATAAACACATGATTTCAATAAGGTTTTAAAATATTAAATTGTGGACAATGCTTCAATATACAAACATTGCTTATGGTCATCTTCTATGAAGAATCAAGGATAATTCATTATTGAAGAATGAGAAATAAACTACCTTTGAACTCATTTATAATCATTTAGAGCTATAAAGTAACAAACATTGATGCTATTCTTGAAAGTTTTGATGAGAAAAAAGTCTGCAGATTAATTTAAAACAGTGTGTAATGCTAAGCCAGTGAAAATTAAAATAAAAAAAACATTGATTTTTTTCATGTGTTGTCTCAGAAGTGTGTTTCATTTTTGTGTGTCTCAGAGGAACAAATTTAAATTTTTGAAAGTTTCTTGAGGATTGTGGGCTATAGCCACTGCCTGTCTCAGCTATAAGTTTCATCTAAACACAAATTGTTCTAAAGTTAAAAAAGAACATAGAACAGAGACATTCAAACACTCTTTTGGTTATTAATGTATGATAACATCTATTTTAAATTTTGGACTTCTTGTACTTAAGTATCATATTTCTTTTGCACTAATTTTAGAAATTTCTCAATTAAATAAGTATTCAGTTATTCATTCTTATATAACTTAATTCATTAAAAAAATTTATGGAAGAAATATATGCTTTTGTAAATAAAATATTTCAGAATAATTTCACCACAAATAAACTCAAAATTTTATAAAACTTCTAAAATCTCAGCATGGCATTACTATTACATCTTGAATTATATTTAAAAAAAAATCATTACATTTTATAAAGAAATGAACTTTAAAAAAAAAAAGCTGTCAAAATTAATCAGAAAAAATATTACTCACATTAGTGCAAAAATGCATTAAAAAACATGCATTTAATAGTTTTACATAAAGACAATATCCTAAAGATTTCAACAAAATCAAAAATTCCAAGCATCAAGCCTATTTTTTTAATGATTTTTTGTATTTGTCAGTTACATTATTCATTTGAAGAAAAAAAAACAGATTATTCTAAAAAAAATAATTAAAAAAATATATGAGTATTCGTTAGATGAAAATTCGTTAGAAAAAGTATAATTGCTTTGATTTAAAACTAATAATTACCTGAATACAGTGAAGCCATTGACAAAGATAATCCACTTTCTTTTATTAAACTCAAATTAGATTCTGTGTGAGCTAAAATTAAAGAAAAAAAATTGAAAACAAATCAATGCCAAGAAGAAAAAAAACTTTCTATGAAAACAACATATTGAAAAATTATAAAATCCATAAGATACCTCCTTCACAATTCTGCCTATTGCCTTAACAACATTGCAATAGACATAAAGATTTTGTAACAAATATTGTAATTGAAGGGTGTCTTTTAAATAAAACATTCCCTTTTCTGATTAATGTAGTTCATAATCTGTATAAACTACACTGTGTTATTAACATAAAAAGATAATAGTTTAAACAATAAAGAACATTAATAGCATAAGCATCAAGTTACATATGAATAGCTTGGTCATAACTTATTGAAATAAGAAAAGTTTTAATGTGATGTGTATGTAGTTTTTTCATTTTTCTTTTGCTGAACTTTTTGTTCTTTTGCTTGAAAGATGCTGAAAGTGTTGCTCATTTAACATTAACCGGTGGGCATCTGCGAACCTAAGTCACAAATTCGAGCAACGAGTGATGCGTAAGTTTTTTTTTTTCTAACAGCAATCTCTGAACTTCTCATTCTTTGGCTTTGAAGATGCTGAAAGTGTTGCAAACTTAACATTAACTGGTGGGCACCTGTGAACGTAAGTCACGAATTCGAGCAACATTACCGACCCCACACTGCCACATGCTCGTTCATAGGGTAGACCACATTCACACATCACACAACAAAGTGAAACAATCATGTTCTGAGTGGAATTGAAACCTGCAACCACTGGTTTTGAAGTCAGACATGCTGATCACTCAGCTACCTGTGCAAGTAATGGAATACTGTCTTTTCTTTTGCGTAAAGCAAATGTAATCAAAATGTAATCACCAATACTTAATTAAAAAGAAATATTTCGTCATTTTTTTAGCAATAAATAACAAGTGAGGAATTTTTTCTTTTTTTTTACATATAATGCACTTTACATTTGCACTTAAGTAAAGAATAAGCATTTTCAGGGGATAAATGTATATAAATAAACTTTTTTTACGGCAAATATGCATAAAACTTACCAGAATATTCTAGATCTTCTACCTCATCTTCACTCCTAATACTATCAGCTATAGAATAAACAAACATAACAAAATAAATCTTTGATTTACACATCTGATAAAGAATAGATTAGCAGCTTTAGCTATCTTGCCGCAGTGAAACAGCGTATGAACTCATACTGATTTAAAACGACAACATGTTTCCTCTGCTTAGAACAAAAAAATGTTGGGTCAGTAACCTTTCACCTCAGAAACCATTACTTCTGGAAACATTGAAACCTTAGGACAACCTTATTTTGATTTAATATTATTATTGCTATAAATATTTTCAATTTCTAAGTTTCCACATTCTTTTATGGTTTTAGTCACCAAAATCCAGAGCTGGCAAAATTTAGTACATTTTTTTTAATCAAAAAAATGTATTAATTTAATCTAAATTGAATTTTTTTCATTCAAATCAGAATTTGTTTTTCAATATTTTAAAGCCAGTATTAACAGTATATTATTACTTAAAAGTAATATTATAAAACGTATTAACAGTATTACTTTCAAAAAAATATAGCTAAAATAATTGATAATTCTAACTAAAATGTTCCAAAAGTCATTTTTTTTTTCAATTATTACAAATTAATCACTGAATAAATAAATTTATACAAACCATTTCACTCAAACATATTCAGTTATTTTGTTCAAACTGAACCTCTTAAAATTTTAAAGACAGGCAGGCAGCTGGATAGTACAATTACAATATTTTGTCAGTTTAATTTCAATTTAATCTAATTTCAATTGTACAGCTACAATAGAGATTAAAAATGTTAAGATCAGAAACATTAAAAGAAGAAAAAAATATTTAAGTTTCTTTGAGAAGAACAAGTCCTTCATAAATATTGATAAACAATAACTAAATATTTAATAAGTTTTAAAAGCGCTTAAAGCATTCAAATAGACATAAAACTAAGTTAATTATCAGCTAATTGTTTTATATACAACTAATGGAAAACTATGATTTAACAGTTTAGCACTACTCTTAACCACTTTCAGTCTCTTATTAAATCAATTTATTTATTAGTCTACTTTGAAATGTTTTAATTTACCCTTTCATTATTTCATTGGATCAATGAATCATTATCAATGAAATCAGATTTTTAAAAGAATCCCATTCCAAAAAATATATTTATAAAAATATTTTTGACTATTTTGAATATTCAGGTCATTTAAATCAAAGATTTTTTTTAAAAAAAAATAAGTGACCTAAATTGTAATTTCAATAATTATTTAAATTATACCAACCCTGACGAAAAAATCTTCATACTACATTTGTTAACAATTTAAAAATTGTTCATATTTTTTATGAACATTAGATAGCAAGAGTACAAATTTTAACATGGCTAGTATCTTTAAAACTGAACTTTCATGCTCTTAGAAATTTAAATGAAATTAAGTTGAACAAAAGAATAACTGGATACTTATTTTAAAAAAATTATCATTCAACACTAGCTACTAGTTGTGGCTAATGCAAATTTTAATATGGCTAGCATCTTTAAATTTGAACTTTCATGCTCTGACTTAGAAATTTAAATGAAGTTAAATTGAATGAAAGAATATCCGGATACTTTAAAAAAATAATAATAATAATTATTCTACACTAGCTACTAGTTGTGCCTGATTTTGAAAACTAATATCCATTTAAAATGAAATTGATAAAGGTACAATTGAAAATTGATATTAATATTTACTCAATTGATAATATTTCATGAAAAAATAATAATATGAATGCAAAACATTGACATTATAGAAAAAAAAAAGAAAGATGGTAAGAATATAATGTCAATACGTTTATGTTAATAAGTTTAAGTTATGTTTATTAACATTAACTTATAAGTTATGTTAATAAGTTAATGTTAATAAGTTTAAAAGTGAAATTAAATGTCAAATCAACTCAATGTAACTTACCTTCAAAATCAGATGAATGAGAAGACAAAGGGGGAGAAGCACTTTGACTTGTTGCTTTAATTAAATAAAAATAATAAAATTAAAAAATAAGAAGTTACCATCGTATGTCATTCATTAAAACAAATCAGCAATTTCATCATTTCATACTTTCCTTACTTAAATTGATAAAAAAAAAACTAAGTTACATTGATATTTAAATTTTGGTTTAAATAAATATTTATATCCAATAAATATCAATATTTTTTTCCACTTTGTTCACGCTTTAGACTTTTTTTTAAGTATGGTAAAACATAGAAGATGGAAACCAAAAATATGCAAAACGGAATTCTAAAGATATGTATGTTAGCAAAAACAGAACTTCATCTGGGGGGACACTGTCTGCTAACAGTTTGATCTCTGGTGAAGTGCTGTTTTTCATAACATAAATATCTTTAAAATTTTGCTTTGCTTATTTCTGGTTTCTAACTCTTTATTTAAATTGTTTACATAAGACAAATTTGGTTTTAGACGCTCTTAGCGCTTTTCCATTTTGATTATTATTTTAAAGTTTTTATCTTGTAATATTACATTGGAATCATTGAAACTTTTTTTAAAAAACTAATAATAAGCTGGTGTAAACACAAGAAAATGAAATAAAACTTTAAATTTTTGACAGTTTAAGTTAATTTCCTTATCACATAAAATGGAGATCAATGTCACATTTTAGCTAAAATATCGTAAAAAACTAAAAGAAAACTTTCTATTCTGTTTAGAAGTCCAGTCAATATTTAATCTCAATTATAAACTTTGATTGTCAACTGGCACAAAAAATAATTCTTAATTATTTTTGTCAATTATTAGTAAAAATGATTTTTAATTATTTTTCTAAAATTTAGATCAAATCTTTCCCAAAACAATATTCTTGAATTTAATAAATCATCCATGATTTTTCAACATGAACATAAACTGTGTATGACACACAAAAACATTGAGTCAAATACAGCCTTAAAATAAAAATACAATTAGTTATTGAAAATATTTTATAATATAACAAAATAGATATACAACCAAATACATACTATCTGTTTTACCATCACTCAACAGAACCAAATTCTTTATTGTTCTCTGAAAAAATATAAGCAATATATTTGTAATAAAAATGTATGTTAGTAATATAAATATTAAATGTTTTGCATTAGTNAAATAAAAATAATAAAATTAAAAAATATGAAGTGACCATCGTATAAAATGAATGTCATTCATTAAAGCAAATCAGTAATTTCATCATTTCATACTTTCCTTACTTAAATTGATAATAAAAAAAAAAACTAAGTTACATTGATATTTAAATTTTGGTTTAAATAAATATTTATATCCAATAAATGTCAATATTTTTTTCCACTTTGCTTACGCTTTAGACTTTTCTATAAGTATGGTAAACATAGAAGATGGAAACCAAAAATAAGCAAAACGGAATTCTAAAGATATGTATGTTAGCAAAAACAGCACTTCATCTGGTAGGGACAATGTCTGCTAACAGTGTGTCCTCTGGTGAAATGTTGTTTTTGATAACATAAATATCTTTAAAATTTTGCTTTGCTTATTTTTGGTTTCTAGCTTTTTATTTAAATTGTTTACATAAGACAAATTTGGTTTTAGCTGCTCTTAGCTCTTTTCCATTTTGACTTATTATTTTAAATTTCTATCTTAAAATTTGTTTAAATCAATTTCATACTTTGATTGGATAGAAGCTGGTGTAATATTACATAGGAATCATTGAAAAAAATTTTTATAAACTAATAATAAGCTGGTGTAAACACAAGAAAATGAAATAAAACTTAAAATTTTCGGCAGTTTAAGTTAATTTCTTTATCACATGAAATGTAGATCAATGTCACATTTTAGTTAAAATATTCAAACGAAACTAAAAGAAAACTTTCTATTCTGTTTAGAAGTCCAGTAAATATTTAATGTCAATTATAAACTTTGATTGTTAACTGGCACAAAAAATAATTCTTAATTTTTTTTTGTCAATTATTATTAAAAATGATTTTTAATTATTTTTCTAAAATTTAGACCAAATCTTTCCCAAAACAATATTCTTGAATTTAATAAATCATCCATGATTATCAACATGAACATAAACTGAGTATGACACAAAAACATTGAGTAAAATATAGCATTAAAATAAAAATACAATTAATTATTGAATATATTTTATAATATAACAAAATAGATATCCAACCAAATACATACTATCTGTTTTGCCATCACTCAATAGAACCAAATTCTTTATTGTTCTCTGAAAAAATATAAGTAATATATTAGTAATAAAAATTTATGTTAGTAATATAAATATTAAATGTTTTACATTAGTAATATAAAATATTTTTAAATAACAAATTAAACTAGATTTAAAAAAAATATTTAAATACGTATTTATATATATATTTATATATATATTCACATATAAATTTAAATTTTAAACAAAAGAATATATTGGGAAAAGAAAACTCAATGCAACGAAATTTCACTAACTCAAAACATTAGCTGTAAAAAAAAAAAAAAAACATTAAACTATCAAAAATTAAAGTATGTTGTTTCATTAACCAGTTTTGAATCGATGGATACCAGTGCAGAATGTTGACCATATTGCAACAGTCATGCAATTGGTCACCAAAATGCTGAGCCTTAACCTCCATGACCCCCCTGGCTTACGATGGGCTGTTGCTGGAATGTTTTACTTAAGTGGTTTCATTACAAGAATAATCAAAATATTATTGTAAAAAGATTTTGATTAAGAGAAATAATTCTTCCAATGAAATTAAACAAACTAAAGCATATATCTCAAACAAAGTAAACTCATGCTGTAGTGACAGGTGAACAAACAGGAATTACACGAATTACCAAAAATTGTGTTTACATCTCTAACTCAAAAACAAAAAATCATGATACAGCAAACACAATCAGGTTTGATTAAATAAAGAGTGATACTGATAGGAGAAGGGATTATACTGTTATCTAGTAAAACTTTTAGTTTCTTTACTTAGCATAATATAGGGGTCTATATTTCCAGTATATTTATGTATTGGCAAAAACATTTTTTCAAGATATTTTTTCCAACATATATAAATTTATAAGTAGTTACTTAGTATTTAACATTAAAAATTACATTCAATGTGCCATTTAAAATCTAAAATAATAATATATATATACTAATAGTTTCTGACATGACAGTTTTAACCACGGTTAAAACCTTTAAAAACTGACACTTAGCTTGCCAATCCAGAATTTCTCTATCTAAATAAAAATTTTGAATGATAATATATTTACTTCTTGCTGTCTTTCCCTCTTCCTTATTCGTATTCTTTGAGTTAATTCTTGAATTTCTTCATCACTTTCATCTTCTGGTGTCACAGTCTTTTGTGTTATAGAGCATTTCATATGCTCAATAGCTGCAATAAGTGCTTCTGATATGCAAAAGTGAGCATTTTCCTAAATATAAAATTTCATGTGAGACTCAATACACAGCATGAACACTTATACAAAAATGTCTCACACACAATACAGAAATGAATAAATATGCAATAAACTTCTTAGTGCAAGAAAAATATGTAAAATCAGAAGGAAATATAACAAACATAACTGAGGCCTGAGGATTGACATAACATGGATAACACTCTTATAAAATAAAAAATATTGGAATATAATCTATTGGTACAAGTAAAAAATGTTTGAAATATGCCTTTATATGATGACTTAAACATGTTAAAAACAAGTATTATAAATTTAACAACCTTCATAAATTATGTGTTACATACAATAAAATAATTATAGACCTAAAACTAATATAAAATAAACCTATATAACCTCTAGAAAGAAGAAATCAACTTAATTTCAGGTATAGTCTACTAACGATAAGTTTAAAAATTGAAAAATAAACAGGGTGATTCTTCTAAAAAATCTAACTAAAAAAATAAAGATTAAGTTATGTTACTAATTTAAAGCTATTTCCATATTTAATAAACTTCATCAACTCACTTTAGGTAAGAAAAATTTATAATTAAACAAATAAAACATAAAGGCAATTTTTTAATACAGTGAAAAGTAACTGTACACAAATAGTCAGAAAATCCGATAAATAAATTTTTGGAGATGATAGTTCTTCAAGATAACCAAAACATTCATTATACAAACAATAAATACTGTCAATTTTCGTTCAATGGATATTTACCCATATACAGTCAATTGCAGGTGGCATTAATGGCAAAAATAAATAAGGAGGTTTCTAGATAACTATTTCTGATTAATTTTTCAAAACAAAACCTAAACTTTAAGCCATAATTAAAGTTTTCAAATGTTGTAATTATCCATTGTTGAATTATTCCTTTACAATTGTTTTACTGGAGTTTTCAACAAAAATAATGATATAGAAAAAAAAATCCTATATAAATATAAGTTGAAGTCAAAACAAATAAATATAACCAAAAGATAGCAGCTCATTCATTCTATTAATTAAATATTGAATATTTCTTATACTTTAAGTTTGGTGATCTGATTAAATATACAAAATGATAATATTCTATGAACTGAATGGTAATATTCTATAAAAACTTAAATCCTAATGTCCAGAACTGCTCAGAAAGAAACTGTTTCTATAAATTTCTCCAGGTATTTTTCTAGTTAAAATAAAACATTAAAATGGAACTTTGTGAAAAATTGTCTACATGAAACACATAAAAAAAAATAATAATTAATGTTGATACACATAATGAGAATGCTACATAAACCAAAAATTATTTATAAAAATACATTTTTTAAATAAAATCTTTAAAAAAAAAAAGAGATAAAAACCCTTACTCTATCTAATTCAGCAGATATGTTGAACTGCTTAGATGACAAAAAGCTCGTGAGAGTCTGTCCCTGTTGAGGACGGGGGAAAAAACACTCAGTTGGAACAACCATTTGTTTTCCTAAAATAAACATAATGTTATTAAATGTGCGTTTTCATTTTGAGATTATAAAATAAAATAATATTAAAAATATCGGTTTTTAAAAAGATGTGGAAATTAATAGTAAAAGAATTAGAACAAAAGTTTCTGCAGAAAAGAAAACCATATTTTCTACTTCTTTAATCTGTATTTTTCATTGTTCTCAAATGAGAATACAAAAAGCAGTTTTTGCCACTCGGATGCGCAAGAAAGGAATCTTCTGAATATAATTCTGAAGAAAAGATAGAATCTTTAGAAAATTTCCGCAGGAAAAAAAACTTTTTACTTCCCAAAAGAAGAATCTTTCTGCAAGAACTCGGTAACGTTCTGCGACAATGTCGCTGCGTCGCTACGATTTTGCCACAGGAGTGAAAAAAATGTCAAGTCTTACTCCTAAATAATGACCAAAGCACACACAACACATGGAACTATTGCTATGACTAAATGCTGAAAAATATATTGAACACTGAAACATGTGAACAATCTGTTTAAATAAAAAACATTAAACAATTATTTTAAAGTGCAATTAATCTGATATAATAATATAATGAATATTGTAACTTGGTGTAATGCAGTAAATGTACCCTGATCATCTAATATAAGTAAATTTACTTTAAATATAATATATTTTTCAATTAAATACTAAAATTTAAAAAAAAAAAAAAATTTCGATAAGTCGATAAATTTTTAAGTTTTCCAGGGTGCACGGCCAAATTTTTCAACAAAAAATAAGCACCTTTTAAGTACTTTTCAAGCATTCAAAAAAAAATTTTAAGCACTTTGAAAAATATCATAATTAGACAGGGTTTGCAAGTTTTTGACAATTGATGGTTTTATCCAGTTTTATTTACAGTGACGAAGACAATGGCGCATCACAAACGATAAAATTAACAAGAGAAATGAAATTTTTTATCACTAATAGCGAAAAATATTGACAAAGTTTAGTTGGTACAATATATGGATTCCGTATATATTGTACCAACTAAATGGGTCCCTGTAATGGCAATATGGTCCCCGTAATCAGCAAAAATTTGAGAGATTTTTCAATTCTATTACAGAGGGCGGAAAAAGAAGTCTGAAATTGAGAATCTCCTGCAAAATGCAGCAGGGTTGCACATGAGAGTCAAAAATCCTTACCACAGAGAATACGCAAGTGCAGACCCGCAAGTATTTCATCAAACATGTAAAACAGATGGTGTTTTCATACACTAATGACCGGCGGTATGCTGAAATAGATTGGGGTTGAATTCATTGTGAAAATGTTGAATAGGACAATGTCTTTTTGCATAATTAGTGGCGAAAATCAACATGATAAAGAAAAATATCACATTACGGAAAAGGGAAAATTAAGCACTTTTTAATAACGCCCATGGAAAAAAGCACCTTTAAGGGCTTTTAAAAAATGAAAATCGAAAATAAGCACTTTTTAAAATTGCTACGCACCCTGTTTTCAAAAGTAAGAGGTAGACTTGGTTACCCACCTACAATTATCAAGATTATATACATATATGCATGCTTGCAATATTTCCGAACTTTAGTGAAAGAAATCTTTAAGTTCAGTAGTGATGTATAAAAAAAATAATCATTTAGCTTCTAGTTAAAATAAACCAAGAAAAATTTATAATTAAACATTGTAATAATTATAAAAGTTGATATTTTGTGGATCAAAAGTAAACCATTGCTTTGAAAAGTCTTTTCATAAAAACTTACAAAATATGAAAATTAAGACTTAATATGTCTGGAGAAAAGGCTCTGAAATGGCTCATAAATGCTGTGTCCAGCCTACGAATTTTCTTATTCTTTTCATGTTTTTTTTTTTACTTTAATCATTTTAATAATGATATAAATTATAAAAAATACAAAATTTTTACTTTTAAAATCATTCACTTACCTTCAAATATACTTTTCCGAGGAGGTGCTTTATTTTCTGAAAATGAACTAGGTAAAGAGAAAACTTGAGCTTCTTGAATATATTCATGAGTATCTGTTGGCTGATAATCAGATTTAGAACGAGAATGCTGGGGTCTCCAACTACGATCATTCTTAAAAACACCATCAATTTCTTGAATATCAGTTGTAGATATAAGACTGTAAGAAGAATCAACGCTGCTAAATCTACTATGATTGTCTCTTTTAGAAGTAATTGAGCTATCGTCTTCAGCAAGATTTTCAACTGAAACTATATTTTTATATAAATTTTCGAAGACTGGAACTACTGAGACAGAATTTGATGGAAGAAATTTTTTAGAAGAAATTGTGGATAAATCTACATGTCTGGTATCTATGGTAAAGATATCAGGAAGACTAACACTAGTAAAAGATAGTAACGGTTGGGAAATCTGTAGAAGATCAGGGCAGCTTGAACATTTTTTGAGAATGCATTCATTTTTGCCAGAATTCATACATAATCTTTTAGAAAGTTCAACGGTATGAGAAAAAACATCATTAGGATTTTTTGTATGATAAGATGCTTCAGTTTTGTTAATAAACTTCTTATGTTCATTAAGTTCTTTGTCTTGTAATGAGTAAAAACGTTTTAGCTGTGAAATAGAAGAACGTTTTTTCCGTAAATATCTTTGAGATCTGTAATAAGATATAGTTTGTTTTGCTATATTTTCTTCACAAGGAACAATTTGCGCAGATGAAGTCATATCCTTAAGCAATTTTTTCTAATACCTAAAGAGGTTTTAACTTGCATCTAAAATGGAGAAAAAAAGTCACCTTTAGATTTTTTAATAAAAAAAATCACTGTTAAGCAAAAGAAATTTCCGTATAGTTACATGATTTTATCAAAAATACAATATGAAATGTTAAATTATACTTTTTTATTGATATATGATAAAGTATCAATTGCTATACTTAATACTTTATCATCCAACATGGAAGAACCATCAAGTATAGGAATTAATGCTCATCTATTATACTTCATCATACAGAGGATGTATCAATTGCCATACTTGATACCTTATCAGACATAGAAGAACCATCAAGAATAGGAATTAATGCTCATCTATTATACATCATCATACAGAGACAAAGTATCAATTGCTATACTCGATACTTTATCATACATAGAAAAACCATCAAGTATAGGAATGAATGCTCATCTATTATACTTCATCATACAGAGACGAAGTATCAATTGCTATACTTGATACTTTATCATACATAGAAGAACCATCAAGTATAGGAATTAATGCTCATCTATTATACTTCATCATACAGAAATGAAGTGTCAAGTATAGAAATTGATACTCATCAATTATGTATCAAAATAGCACATATAATATGAAGTAAACAGAAATTACAAGAAACTCCCAATGGATGATAATAATAGTAATTATTAACTATTTTAAGGGGAGCTGTTTTAACTAGTGTAGTTTATAAAAGTAGAAGAAAAGTATAAGATAAGTCGAATAAAAGATAAGTAACGGCTCAGAGAAAAATGACTCGACAGCAAAGCGAATACATACTTTAAAAAAATAAAAATTTCATAACGCACATTTTATTCTGTGATAACATAAATAGATAATGACATAGACTGTATACAAAAAAAAAAGTAGGTTAATGTTGGAATGTTTACAAAACATATTAGTTCAATACTAAATAATAATTTTGCTATTTTCAAAATCTAAAACATATAAAACGTAGTTAATAGATATTACTACGAAACATTAAGATCACAGATAATAAATAAAAATGAGAAATACTACAGGAAAATTTTAAATATTGAAACAAAACTCAGCTAACAGAAACATCTAAAGAAAAGCTCGATACAAATGGTAATTCGAATACTCTAAACGAAATAAATGAACTCACGATTATTCAGAAACATTGCAAAATACATGCAGTGTTATGTTAACCACTTCCTAAACATATGATCAGCACAACAATTTTATTTGTTTATTTTTCCCGAGATATCTAGAGAACTGATGTTTCCGTATAGATCATCCAATCGTACCACTATCATCCAATTACACATCAAATAGAAATTATTGTCAAAAACTCACTAGATGGCAGAAGATTCTTTTTAGTTCCCAAAAGAACATCGAAGTTCATTACGGGCGGCAGCAGTGAGCGTGTGAGGACCAACTAGATGAGCCAAGGAAGGGATCAACGGTAGACTGTATTGGTATTTGTGAAGCAGTTCTGTTCGACTTCACACTCAAAGATTCGAGCCTGTGCTACCTTTAAGCTTTTGAGTGTTTGGAGCAAGACTGACAAGAAGAATACCCCTCGGTCATGGAGACCTCAAAATGACTACTGGCCAGGCTCAAAATACGCCGTCATTATTCATAGTTAGCATCAAAAAATTTAAATTTGATGAGCAGAAAACTACACATAGTCGTCATTACATCTAGACCAGTATTACGAAATTCGAATTAGTGTTTTTCCGAGTTAAGTAAGTTATAGTACATTTATGCCGCTATTCTTTCTGGGAAGCATCCTTGCGTATGATTCGAAGACATGCCATCACATTTTTCATGCTCTGCAGAGGGGCAAAGCACCCCCGCTTCGGTAGCCCGATGACCAGCAAGCGAAGTCGAGCATTTAACGGTAGAACAGTTTAATGAGGACTGATGCATGTTCAGTCCGCCCGCAAAGTGATCAAAGGTTACCCACCCACTTATTGATGACCGGAGTCAGTGATGCTCATGTTTGACTTGGTAGAATGCTGGGAACCTTTCTGATCTACAGCCGGACTTTCGAGCTTTTTCGAACTGCTCGATTCGTGATGATTCCATTGTAATAACACAACGTTAAATCATGATTTTTTACTGGCTGCAATTAACCTTTTTTTTAACTATCCATTAAGCTTTTCAAAATCCGATATTTTTAATATGTTATTAAAACACGAATTTAACACAAAGTTAAGTTTTCACTTGAAGATGTTTTTTTTCTGTGATTTCCGCTTGATTTTTTTATTCTGGTAGTATTTATATGATGTAGGTAGGTACTTTGGGTGGAATTCAACTGCAACATCAACTGTCGTAAGACGGGGAAAATCGTAACTTTCGTGTTCATTTTTAAAATGTAAAATCATATTTAATCATAATCAATGCCGATGCCCCACAAACAGGACGAACTACAAGTCTTAAAACCGATTTAAGTAAAAATTTAACAATTGTTGACATTTGAACATTTAAATGTTCCTTACAGGAATCACAACGAACATTATCTTTCAGGAGAGAGCACACTGTCACCCACAGAACAAAAGACTTTTTAAAACAAATATTATCAAAACCTAACGAAAACATTTTAATAAGTTTAGGACAATTAAAAAATTTATTAATTTCACTGTTATAAAACAAGAGAATTAAATAATGATATGTATTAGTAAAAATATAAGAAAAATCCATTTATATTCAAAGCTCTGCCAACCGGGTCCCGGTTCCCAGCAGATCACCGAAATCAAGCATCATTGGCTGCGGTCAGTGTGCGGGTGGGTAACCACTTGGATCAGTCTGCGTAGGGACCGATGGTGTGCGCAGAGCCGGATTATACCTTTCGTAGGCCCTAGGCACAGAGCCGGATTATACCTTTCGNTGTGCGGTATTGGTCCTCGTTAAACTGTGCTACCGTAAAGTGCTCGACTTCGCGCGCAGGTCGGTGGGCTACCGAAGCGGGGGTGCCATCCCCTCCGCAGAGGATCAAAATGGTGATGGCATGTCTTCGGATCATCTTTCGGGATGTTTTCTAGACCGTCGCCAATAGCCCATTGTGCAGCTCTAGTGCGACGTAAATTAACAACAACAATTGCCAACCGGAAGTTTTTTTACAAAAACAATGCAATTTAAACAGAAATTTTATATCATTATTTTGACCTATCAACTATTTCTAATTTGATTCAAAACAAACACTCTTTTTAAGGAGAAGGCACACACCCACACAACATACGATTTTTTTACTTAAATATTATCAAAACCTAACTAAAATTATTTAATAAGTTCAGGACATACATAAAAATGAATTAATTCTACTTTTAATAGATATAATAACATATTTCCTAAAAATGTCAGCAAAATACTTAAGTTTCAGTTCTGCCAGCCAGAAATTAATAATCATAAAACAAAGCTATTTCATCACATTATAAGAAAAGATTTGACGATTATTCTGACCTATTTATGAATCAGGCATCACAGTGAATCTAATTTATTATGGGCTAAACAAAAAAATCAGCAATTATATATAGTATGTAGTATCATAATAAACAACATCTGTAAAGAGAAACAGAAGTTACTTACCATCCATAAAAATCAATATTTTTTTTCATATAAAGAATGTCACAATCTAGCCGAAATTTACCATAAAGTTTATTAGAATCCATTTCTACACGAAAATCGACCTCTAAACTTTAAAAATTTAAGGAAAAGGAAAAATTTGCTAATTTATTTCAAAAAGACATCGTCCCGCAGTGGACTGATCGTTAAGACACGGTTCCCAGCAGATCACCAAAGTCAAGTATCACTGGCTACGGTCAGTGTGCTGGTGGGTGACAACTTGAATCAGTCTGCGTAGGGACCGAGGATGTGCGGTATTGGTCCTTGTTAAACTGTGCTACCGTAAAGTGCTCGACTTCGCGCAGGTCGTCGGGCTACCGAAGCGGGGGTGCCATCCCCTCCGCAGAGGATCAAAATTGTTATGGCATGCCTTCGGATCATCCTCCAGGATGTTTCCCAGACCGTCGTCAATAGTCCATTGTGCAGCTCTAGTGCTGCGTAAATTAACAACAACAACAAATCAAGGTATCAAATAGGAATGTACTACGATATTTTCCCTTTTATTAATATTTTTCCTTTTTATTTAATGAAACTATTTTTTGAAATTTCAATGATATTTTCTTCAGAACTATGTTTAATTTAGTTCTCAGTTCCATATAGTTTTCCAACTTAAAAGATTTCAAACTGTATGGAAATCAAGAGAGAAACGAACGTACTTCCTTCCTCTATGACTTTCCACACGCTAATGGGGAAAGCATGTTAAGTATTGCCCTTGATAGAGAGTTCTGCTCGACGCCACCTACAGCCCATAACTTATATATTATATGGATGATGTTTTCCACACTAGGGAACGCTGCAAGCTCGGTAGCGCCTAAATTTCCGGGTTACTGTTTCCGTTGTATTTTAAAGCCATTTGGCATCATTGTGTTTTGAGATTCTTGCAAACAATGTATTTGATTACTTATTACTTGTGTTTACAATGCTTACAATACTGGAGTTTACAATGCTAAAAGTGTTAACACTAACGTGAGAAGGTGCACAGTTTGCAACAAGAACAAACAGTAATAAACTTATGGAAAGAGGCCATATCAAGACTGCCAAAAAAGCGAGTTATTCAAAATCTAGCAACCATGTCACCTTTTTTATCAATATATCTCTAAAAAACTAAAACAAATTTTCACTTCAAACTCACCAGAATTACATATTAACATTAATATCTTATGAAATACGGCAGATTTGAGATTAGAAATCATCTAATTTATTTCTTTTATTGAAAACAAACTTATCCGTTTGAAAACATCGCCTATCAGAATAATATGTAGTAAGCAGCTGCAAACTTTTTAACCGGAACTAGAGTAAGTGCCGAGCTCGAGATGTTATTGTTTACATTTCTATTGAAAACACCATCCATACTTATATATTATAACCCATGCCCCATAAAACATTATTTTGAAGTACTCAGTAAATTGCGGTTGTTTCTTTACCGCTTCAAGAAAAGCGTAACGTAATTTAAAGGCTTTTCCATAGTCCCTGGGCTTTTCATATGGAATATTGATATCTTAGACTATTCTATATTATATATAAATGTATAGAAGATTCTATTTTGTATACAAGTATGTTTTAATTTGAGGAGTGTTGACACAGAATGTGAATAACGCACTTTCAATCATCGTCGAGACATCTTTAAAGACACAAAAATAGTCCATGCTAAAAACTCATGTGTGTGAATTCTGAGATGCAAGCGAGGCTTCCATACTGAAATACTACACTCGCAAAAAATCTGCCAATCATTTACTCCATGGCATCATTGGAATCACATATGCGGTTTTCTACAATGCAGTATGAATGCTCTCTTAAGAAAAACATAGGCTGATATACTGTAGTAGCTTCCTCTACTTTTTAAAAACTGTCCCAAGATTCTGGACATCAGGTGTGTTGACTGTTGAAGTAGGCAACCGATAACGTAACCCAACTCTCTCCGCAAATATGTACTTATTTGTTGAAAAATTCTTTGCTGAGATAAACTATATTAAAACTTACGTTCTTACTTATACCGAAGACGACTTTAATTAACCCTATTTGTGTAAAGAAAAGCTTTAAAACAATTTCTTTTGATTTGCCCCATCTTTGATTAAATTTATAAGCCTGCTTATCCATAATCTTACGAATGTAAAGTTATTAAAGGCAATCTCATTCTATGTTGTGATAAGAACAGCAAATACTATCTGTGCAATGTGTGTCACAATTGCAATGATGTTCTGACAGAAAAATATTTACACATATGGAAATGTAATGTTTGTGTGTTTATTAGTTTCCAAGTGTAGTTCGTGATTATACTTTTTAATTATAAAACATTTTGTGTCTGCTCTAAAAAGAGTACAAAAAAAAGGTAGTTTCATTTAATTGTTTTGAGTTCATAATATGGAAATAAATTAATTAAGCAGTCATTGTGATAAATTAAGAAAAAAAGATTGATTTGACTTAAGTAACACTTTAAATGTGCATTACTAAACAGATTAAAATTACATTTGCAGATAATTAAGCTGTCTGTAATTTTCATAATACACATAATTTGATATTGATGCACAAGACATTTAAATTGTGGTTCTCCTGTTCAAACTGAGAAAATATTTTTTGTTATGGCAATTCAATGCTCGAAAATAGAATTAAACTATTTGACCTTCTCGTATTTATGGTAATGAGTAAGAGCTTGCTTTTCTTGTGCATGATAAAACATTGATTGAAAAATTGGCAATTAAATTTTTTTTTTTATTTTAATAGATAATGATGTGAAAGTATGTGAAAGTGAAGTATGTGAAAGTGAAAAAAACATTTTTTTTGTTGTTGCTTTTCTTTAATTTATAATGTGTTCTGTAGTGTCTGTGTGAATAAATTACTAATGAAATTAAATTTGATAATTTCATGTTCAAAAGAGTTCATATCATTATTGTTAGTTCATGTTAATTTGTATAATCTCTTCATAATAACATTAATTTTACACTGTGTCTAAAACTGCATTCATTCATTCATAGTGCATTGAATTTAATAGAATCTAATACATGAAGTTTTACATTATTCTGCAGTTTTTTTATCATTAAAAAAACATAAAGTGAAATAATTTAGCTTTGTATCTTGGTACGTTCAACAAAAGAAAGATATTATTAAAATATTTTGTGAAAAATAGAAAATATTTACATCTCAATATAATTTCAATTAATATTTTCACAGATGCATCTATTAATAAATCATATGCCTGCTGTAAGGTGATCATATTTCTACAGTATTATATTTTACTTTATTAAAAATTTAGTCAAAGTAAGTAACTTGATAGAGCAGGCTCTTTTTTGTATCATATGTTATTAAAGGCCTAACATGTTACCTGGGATGAAATCTTCTTGTTGTATATCTAATAAGAGTTTTTCAGAAAAAATTAATATGACTGAACACAGTCGTGCTGATACTGGTAAGAAACCTTATTCTTGTAGAATATGTGATAAGAGTTTTTCAAAAAAAGGTATTCTCCCTAGACACAATCGTGTTCATACTGAAGAGAAGCCTTATTCTTGTAATATATGTTATAAACTTTTTTCACTAAAAAGTAGTCTCATAAAGCACTGCCGTGTTCATACTGGTGAGAAGCCTTATTCTTGTAGTATATGTAATAAGAGTTTTTCAGAAAAAGGTCAGCTCACTACACACGATCGTGTTCATACTGGTGAGAAGCCTTATTCTTATAGTATATGTAATAAGAGTTTTTCAAAAAAAAGTAATCTCATTATACACAGTCTTGTTCATACTAGTGAGAAGCCTTATTCTTGTAATATATGCAATAAGAGTTTTTCAGAAAAAAGTCATCTCACCAGACATAGTAGTGTTCATACTGGTGAGATGCCTTATTCTTGTAGTATATGTAATAAGCGTTTTTCAGATAAAAGTCATCTCACCAGACACGGTCATGTTCATACTGGTGTGAAGCCTTATTCTTGTAGTATATGTAATAAGAGTTTTTCAGAAAAAAATAATCTCACCAGACACGGTCGTGTTCATACTGGTGCGAAGCCTTACTCTTGTAGTATATGTAATAAGAGTTTTTCAGAAAAAAATTATCTCACCAGACACTATCGTGTTCATACTGGTGAGAAGCCTTATACTTGTAGTATATGTTTTAAACTTTTTTCACTAAAAAGTAATCTGAATGAACACGGTCGTGTTCATACTGGTGAGAAGCCTTATTCTTGTAGTATATGTAATCAAAAATTTTCACGAAAATGTGATCTCACTACACATGGTTGTGCTCATACTGGTGAGAAGCCTTAATCTTGTAGTATATGTAGTAAAAAAATTTCACTAAAAAGTCATCTCACTTCACACAGTAGTGTTCATACTGGTGAAAAGCCTTATTCTGTAGTACATGTAATAAGAGGGACTCTGAAAGAACACTGCCATGTTCATACTGGGGAGAAACTTTATTCTTGTAGTATATGTATTAAAAGTTTTTCATTAAATTGTCTAAAAAAAAGTCTTGTTCATACTGGTGAGAAACCTTACTTATGTAGTATATGTAATGCTTTTCTGGAAGGAATTATCTAGCTAGTCACAGTCCTGTTCACGCTATTTAACAGCCATATTCTTGTTTATGTTGAAATTTATCTTTTTTTTTTTTAACTTAAGGTCTTTATTTTCTTAGCATCAGAGTCCTGATTTATAGTTAATGTTTTTTTCAATAAAAAAAAAACTTCTAGCAACTTTTAATTGAAATTATTTGTAACATCTTTTACTTACTAAATCTTTTCTAACACATGTTGTACAATTACTTTTATAGAAGTAACTCTTGTAATTTTATTACTAAATGTTTTTTTTTCCTTTTAAAAAAAGACAAGTGGTCAAAAACCCCAAGTTAAAATCTAAAATTACTTTTGGTATTAATATTTGTAATGAAAATTTCACTAATTGAGAAAAAATTTAAGTTATATTAGGTAAATAAGATTCAGAATTTATCTGTCTTTTATTGTTTAGTAAATGTTAATAATCAATTGAAATTTATAATTTTTTTAAATTTTCGATTTTTGCAGATTAGCAAAAAGTACTTATATATGATTTTATATAATATTAAATATAATTTTTAAGTCAATTTGTATAGATACATAAAATAACTTGTATATGAAACTTAGGCTACCTGGATACATATTTCTCACAAAAAAGATCAATAATCCGTTAAATGCAGTTTTATTCGAAACCAAAAATCCAGTCTCAAAAATAAAAAAAGAAGTTAAACTTCGTAACCTGCGACGTTAATTATTAACATTGCTTGCAATTCACAATTGATCGCATCATTTAATTATCATTTTCGAGTGGAGAAATATATAACAAAATCTATAACATTTACAATGGGATTATGATAACTAAAGTAAGATACGAAATGTTTCAATTCTATTTTTTTAATATTTCTTGCAAAAACTGCATCAATGGTAGTTCCCCCTTTGGTTGTTGGAGCATTCCTACCATTTATCATTTCCAATCCAAATTTGTCTTTAAGGTAGGTTAATAATGTTTCAGCTTCAGGTAACGAGAAATTCACATTAAAATCTCCTGCAAGGATCACACGCCGTTCACAATAATCAATTTCTTCACCAGTAACGTTTGCCAGAGCTAGTGAACCTGCAGTGGATAGTGGCAATAAAGATTTTGCGATAAATAATTTAATATCCCTCATGGCTGCATTTGGTGAAATATAAATGGCAATTAGAAAAGAGAAAACCTAACCATTAATTGATATTCACAAGAGACGTACCTTGACATAACCTTCATTATTTACAATTGTTATCCACTGAGTTTGAAAATAAAAAATACTACCCTATTAAATTATATGTGTACAAAAACAAACTAAAAAAATCTGCCTATAATTCACTGCTGTCTAAAATACAGTAGTTGCAACAGAAAAAGTGCGTGGAGTCCCTCCGCGCGGAGGAGGTTAAACTTCGTAACCTGCGACGTAAATTGTAGAAGAATCAGCAGTCGTAGAATGATCACTAGTTCTCTTCAACGACTCTTTTCCCTGCTTCCTATTAAATTATATGTGTATCAAAACAAACTAAAAAAATATTTATAGAAAAACAAAAGTTTTATGACTTTTATTATTTTTATGCTAGTGAGAACCAAAACAATATGGAAATGAATGAGGGAAAACTGGATCCTATCACGTGATTTCCCGGCCAAAAAAATTGTTGCGTTGAACGCTACATTTCCTTGGAAGTCGCATAAGAAGTATAACTTCAATAAATTTAGTCAGAGATTTAGGTAGTTAATAAAAAAAAAAAAAATCTGAATAATGATAAGTTGTATTGAATTATAATCTTTACCCGCGTGTCAGAATCACGGCGACAATGTCGCAGAACGTTGCAGTGTTTTTGCAGAAAAATCCTTTTGAAAAGTTGCTTTTTTTTTCTGCAGAAATTTGACACGCTCGATTTACGCCGATCGTAAATTGATATGTAATGTTTTTATTGTATTTTCGGCAGTTATTGTTATTGATTTTCAAGTAGATTTTAAATATCCAGATACATTTCAAACAATGTAGAAAATTTGAATTGTGCATTTGAGCAGTATTTACTTTTTAAAGCAATAATTTTATTGCTATTGATTGCTCCATAGTACTTTTATACGATATTATTTATTACAACAACCTTATCTCAAAACGAAACTCGGATTATCTCAAACGAAATTGGAAAACAAAACTCTATGGATTTCATGATTTTTGATTTTTTTTTTATGGTGATGATTATTTACTAAATGAGAAGAAGAAAATAATGTGTGCGTACCAACCTACTCCAACAACATATGCGAGAATATCACCCATAATATCAGAATAAAAAATTATTACGTGTTCTTGTTCATATATATATATGCATATTTATATATAGATAGGTGTATATATATATATATAGTATTTTTTTCCTTCTGTAATACGCTTTAGTTACTTTAAATTAGTAACATATATGTTATTTTAAAAATATCTTGCAGAAAGATATTAGTTCTAGAGAATTTTCTCGCGGATAACTAGAAAAAATTCTGACACAGGGATCTTTACATAAATAACAGTTTTTCCTAGAGTTTAATGTAACATTGAGAATTTACAATAAAGAAATAGTTTGAAAATTGTAATTTTGATTTATATTTTTAAAGTATTTAATTTAGGATGAACTGATAGTTTTAAAACATTAACATCATATTTTCTAGTTATTAAATAGTTTCTGTAACAGAACATGATATAGTAATAATTATACTCATGCGACTTAAAAGAGAATGAGCGTTCACTCATCTAGCTTGGATTAAAGAAATGTGAATTCCTACACAAACGAAAAGTTTTATCTAGCGGTCGTCTCAGAAGTAGATTGTGATGACCATTTTTTAAAAATAAGCATACATTATATGTAGTACAGGAGTAGAGAATACTTTGAATGGAGAAGCTTATATAATCATGAAATATACAAGAAATATAGATCACTTAATATCAAGGCCGGATTAACCATTAAGCACACTAAGCACGTGCTTAGGGCACCAGAGGTAAGGGGGGCACCACGAAGCACCAATGAAAAAAAAAATTTCTTCTAGACATAATTTATTACACATCTTAACTCCATTTTTATTACATGATTTTAGCTAATTGAATTTTACTAAATTGATATTGTGTTATAATTATTTCAATCACGCCGACACGAAAAAGAAAGTTGTGTATTCAGGAAGTGATCAATGCTCTTTCCTAACAGACCACCTATATAGTCGGTGAATAGCTGAGACCTGAAATACAAAACTAGAGATGGGAAGAAGCTTTGTGTATACAAGCGTAACAAATTGATTTCCTACACTCGCATGTCAAAGCATCCTTTTTATCTCTGAAACATCTCGGGGACCGCTAAACTTTTGCTTTTTTCTTCAGTTAAAAATACTACTTCTCTATATACGGAAGATAAGATTGAAACCTTTAAATTTTCCTTCTTCGTGGTAACTTCTGTTACAGAAAAGTAGGAGGGCGAATAAAAGAGAGGTTCCTAACCAATTACGCGATTAGGAGCTACATCAATTTTCACATTTTCAGCGTACACTTGTTGAGCATTTAAAATTTAAACAGATTTTAAAGTGTGACTCGATCTTGACTAAGTATGTGCATTGTTTTATTTCATGTTCGAGGAGACTTTGCTTGATTTTAAAAGTATAAGTCTTTAAGATTTAATAATTCAACGAGGTTATAAAAAGAAACAAAGATCCCCCAGAGATTCTTTGAATACTTCACGACTGACGTAAAAAGTAAAATTTATTTTTATTAATTTAGTTTTAACTTGGGTTTCCCCTTTTTATTTACAGATTATTGTAAACGTTGTAACAACGTAATGGGATTTTTATAAATCGCTTTAAATTATTTTAAATAGAATATTTCAAATGAAAATTACAAATACTAATCAATGGAAAAATTTTATTAAATTCAAAATTAATGTGGAAAAAGTAGGCATATTTTATAATGTAAAATGAGTTTAATTTCTTTTAGACCAAATGAATAATTTGTTTATAAGGGATGTCAGGTGTTCTAATCCAGTTCACGTTCAAATTCAACGCAAAATAAAAAGTGAAAGTTCAGAATAACTTTTAATCTAATGTAGTAATCGGATTTTCGTATACTCAACCTTTTGTAGTTCAAAGACTTAACCTTAAATATAAATTTTTCAAATTAATACTGATGATGTTTTAAGTTATGATATCACACTCAAAAAAGTACTTTCTCAGAAAAACATATTTTTAAAAAAAATGTTCGACAGTTTTGTATTCTCACCCTTGAATAAAGAGGGAGGTGGTCAAAATCTGGAAAATATGGTCACAATAATTTATGCAGGAGACCGATTAAAAATTTGGACCTATCCATGTTAATTTTACTTTTTTCGTATTTCGCCATATCTCTGGAAATTGCCCAGAAAATCAAAAAGTTTTTGCACTTTATATATTATAATAGTAAAATAATAATTATTATATTATATTTTATCTACTGAAGGGAAATTTAATTGTAAGGTATCATATTGTTAAGTAGTAATTTTAAACAACAAAATACAAAAATTTAAATTAAATTGGTGGAATAAATCTAGAGAAATCAAAATTCAAATGAACGGCGTTTTGAAATTTGCTAACTCAGAAACTAGACGATCTATTTCTTTCAAATTTTATGATTTAAAA